ACTACTTGTTGGCTTGGGGGCTCAAAGGATAACGAGAAAATAAAGGCAGGGCTTTTTTCTTTCTTTGTGCTTTCTTCAAAAGTCGCATTTACCTTTTCCTTTTTCTTTTTAAATATCCCCTCTTTTCCCGGTAGATCGGTAGAAAAAGAAGCGTTTTATCAGAGAAAGATGCGATCTTCTACATTTTTTTATGTTGTTTTTTCGGACATGTCTAGAATTAAGTCTATGTTTGGTAAAATTAGCTTATAAATTAGCTGATAGTTGATAAATTAACTTATAATTTATTAGTAATTTTCGAGCTTATATCTTATGATTTATAGTTGAAAAGTTAGGTTTATCATAAAAATATTTGGTAAAATTAGTTAATAAACTAGCTGAAACAAAAATTTCAACGAGCTTATCTAAAAAAGTTACCTAAACAAACTTATGAGATAAGGTCGAGCTTTTAAAAATCTCATCCTACCATACCAAACGAAGCTTATTTAAATACAGAATACTTATAACCTAACCAAATATGTTATAAGCTAACTCATTTGTCTACCAAACATGACCAGCAAACTATTTTTTAAGCTTTCCAAACAGACACTAAATAAATACTAGAAGAAATTTTAAAATTTGGGGCAAATTTGGAATATTTTTTTTTTTGAATTTGCTGTTCAAATGTGGCCTTAGCCAGTTACTGTACAAAACAGAAGAATATTCCTACATCTGGTAATCAGAATAAAAGTTAATTTTCTGGTTGTTCAAAACAAAAATGGATTGGAAATTGTGCCCTGTTTGGACGAAAATGTTGCAACCCCAAAAAACACCAAATTAAGTTCGTTTTGGAGGGGGACCCACCACATGGAAGCATACATACATGTTCACACTTCACAATCAGGGACCACTTTGAAAAAAAAAAAAAAAAAAAATTGAGCGGGAAAATAGATTTGTCCTTTTAGGCAAATATATTTCAAAATAAAAGGCAATAGAATTTGAGTAGGAATATTTTGCATTCAAGTACCACTATGTTGCATTAATTGCATTTAGACAGTGCACAAACAAGGAACAAAGTGCACAAACATTAAAAACTTGCTAATAATTCAAACTAAACATTAACCGATATGGAATTTACACGATCAATCACTCTCTTCTTTGCTATCAATTGTCAACACAATAAGTCAATAACCATTTTTCATGTTAGCTCAACCATTCTTGAAAACACAATAATACCTAATTAAGATTCAAAATCCTCTTCAACTTGAGAGCAAGACTTCTTCATCCTAAAACCGGTGAAGCTAGCTCGCGAAGCCATTATCTCGTCCAACGACAATCTCTTCTTGGGGCCCGAAACGGGCCTCTGTTTCGGTGCACTGTGGGACCTCAGCTTTGCCCTAAACGACTGCGTGTTGGCCATGTAGCCCGGGCAGTTCGAGTACGTGCCGAATAAACTCTCCCCACAAACGCTCTTGGCCATTGTGGTTGGGCAGCCGAGCCGAGGGGTATTTTGGGCAGTGGCGAATTTATAGCCCTCCGGGACAAATCCCCAGTCGAAATCCTGGCTGTGATTGCGACTAGGGATTGATATAATTGGGCAAGGGATTGGAGATGAAATCGCCTGGTAATATGGCTCATCGTAATAATCGGACGTGAAAGTGCTCATTCTTCGGGATCTCAACCGAGGCCTGCACGTGTCGATTTCAACTATTTTCGGGCTCGAGGAGGGGTCGTGAGAGGACGAGAGCCTTTTGCTGTGGAATTCGCTTCGGGTCTCGTCAAACCTGTCCTGAAAATTCATTACAAAAAATGGAAAAAGTAAAATGAAGAATGTTATGAATTTCAAGAAAAAACTAAATTTCACGAGAGAATTGGATCTGAATCGAACTTACGCTGGACTTTCGGGCTCTCATTTCAGGCTGGAATCTGTAGTCGTTGCTCATCGAACGACGGGCCCTTTGGGAGCGAATGGAGGCTTGGGCCCGGAAAAGGGCTTGCATGCTGTGTAGAGTTGCTGCGGCTCGTTTTCTTACCAGGTAGCCACGAACAAGGGCCTGCAGTTTCACCAGCCCTTTCAGGGCCCGTAATGCTTTTCGGGCCTGCCCCCATAGAAATTGAGTTTCAGATTAATCAAGTCCAAAGAGGCAAAGTTCAAATTTCAAATTTGAAGATATGCCCAAGGTAGGGAAGACAATCATATGTAAGAGAATTGCATTAGAGAAAAATGAAATGAAAATTAAACAGAGAACTTGAATCTAAAGGACAAGTAATTATTACTACATGTTGGATTTGTACTGTCATTATTAGTGTTGGATTTTTGTGTTGCATATAGAAAATGGTGTCCAAATCATTATCATCATCATATTTTGTCCAATTTTATTTTTTTAAATTCAAACAGGAAAAATTCAAAATCAAAGATGAATGGACATTATTAGTTATTATAATTTGGAGAGATGGTACGGTCCCGTTACGGAACCATTCCGTTGGTGTTTGTAACCATTATATCAACTATTTCTGACGATTACGTGATGATATAACGGTTACAATATCCAGCTTAAGACAACAAAAATGGCATCTCAACATTTAAATTCAAGAAAATAATTCATTCAAGGAAATATAGCAAAGATTTAATTAAATTGAAATGTTAAAAATAGATTCTCACAGAAGATATATTCAATTAATAAAAATAAATAAAATGAAGCCAAAGAAGAAAAATATTCAAATCCTACTACACTTACCAAATAACCTCTGAACACAGCCTGAATTCTCACAGCCGCCACTCTCTCTCTGCCGTCGGTGAAAAACCCACCTCTGCCCTGGCTGGTAAGCCGGACAACAGCCACCGCCGCATGAGCAGCGGCGACGGCGGCGTCCGCGGCGGCGGCGGTGGCTGCGGCCACCGCAATAGCGTGCTTGCTCTGCTCCTCCTCTGAACCAGCAATCAGAGATCCCAGCCAAACCGAGTCCTTGGCCGCCGGAATACGGTTCAACGGCACAGACTCCTTGCCGGATTTGGCAAAGCCCCACTTCTTTTTCTCCTTCATCACTGTAAAGTTTGAATTTTTATCCAATTTTTCTTTATCTTTCTTAAGCCCAAGCAGACCCATGAGCCACCTCGTAGCTTTTCCCATTTTTTTTTAATTTATTTATTGGCCCTTCAAACTTCAAATTGAATTAAATATATATATATATATATTAATTTTAGAATGTGAATTTATTGAGAGAACAGAAAAGATTAGAGCTTTTGAACTAAGAGTGTTGTAACATGAAACAGTTTGTAGAACAGAATCTTATATATATATATATATATGCGGGTAGGCACCGAGGAGAACATGATAAATTAGGTGTAATTACAAAACCCACCCTCGAAGTTTGGTAAAATTACAGAAAGAGAAACTTTAGGGGTTTGCATTTAAATATTAGTATATTACTGAGCGAAATTCTCATTTCTCAGGGGTGTGCTTTGCAAAATGCAAAATAAGAGGAGAAAATGGGCTATTTGTTATATGGGTTTCTTACAAAATACAAATTGTATTTTCTGATAGTAACAGAAAACAGATTCATAAAAAAAAGTAAAAAACAAAGTGCAGTGGAAGAGTTTCGAAATGGGAGTAAAACCTTAAATCAATGTCTGGAAGTTTTTTATTTTTTTTTT